ATGGCAAACCACTTTTGGATCATCTGCCAAGAACGTATATGAACAGGTCCCAGTCCGAGAAAAGGATGGAAGGATCCTGTTCATATGGACCTGTCGTCAGACAGAACACTAAATAAATAACTCTATATATATGCTTATAAGTCAAACATGTACTCGATTTAAGGTGGAAACTTTGTTAAGGCAAACTAGTGGAAGAGGGTGAGAGTTGAGTAGCCCAATTATGATACGGGAAATGGGTACCACATTTTGGTCAGAAAATCCTGAAGGAAGGAATCAACTCGGCTGCACAAGCATAGACGTGAATACAATATTAAAATAGATCTGAAAATATTTCAGGTACGCGAGGGTGGAGACCGATTCACCTAACTCATGAAGGAAGCCAGTGGCGAGTTCTGTGAACAAAACGGCAATGGACCTTTCAGTTTCATTACGCTACGGCGGCGAATTTATTGGCCGGCTGAAAGACTATTAGCTTTTGAAGAATGACTCAGCACCGTGGAGTCATAAAATGAAAGAAATTTCATATATAGTTTCTGCACATTCATAATTTATACGCTGAACCAAACAAAGTTAAAACGGCAAAATAAGGAACGTGAGATGGGTGGGAATTGTAGCGCGCATGGTAGGGATGAGAAATGCACTCAGAATGTTAATAATCCAGAAGGTAAGAGACCACTGTGAAAACCTTGAAGAAGATCAGAGGATAGTATCGAAACGGATCACACAGAAACTGGGTTTAAGAGTTTATATTTGATTCATCCAACTCAGGATATAGTGAGTGGAAGGATTTTATACACATGGTAATGAGCCTTCGTGATTCATAAATGGAAAACTTCTTAACTAGTAGAAAGTTCTGTTGCCAGCATCTCAAGAAAGAATATAATCCATGGAGTTAATTAGTCCATGAGGTCTACTTTTGATTTTAAAATATCGGTACCAATTTTTATTGTGATTTCCTTAGGAAAAGTCGACAAAATCGATTTAAACTTTATATAAATTAAGGTTCATATTATATTCCTACGCAGATGGAGCAACTATTAATGCATCAGACGTCCTGTACCAAATTCCATCTAAATCTGTCATTAGTTTCGGAAGGGAAAGGTCCGGACAGACGGATGGATGAATGTGAAACTCCTTGCCATGAATAGTTAATTTTATGCAAATAACGCAGAAAAGTGCTCTTGTACGGAATAATTATGCACATTGTTAGCTTCATACGTAGACAGGTCATACAGTGGGTAGGGATTTGTGAGACCACACATTGGAAATGCTTACAGAAAAAGAAAGTTACTTTCTAATGTAACTGTCTAAACATGTTAACGGAGATTTTTGCCTTCTGTGTAGAAATGCTGGGTGGACATATTTTTACCAATATATTGTCTGTATCTTAAGGGAGCCCTGAAGATGGAAACAGTATGGCTTTACGAAACTCTGATATCTACCCGCAAACCCACACAACGTCACAAATCAAAAATCATGAGCGAAATCTTCATCGCTCTGATAACTCCGGATCCTACATTATTAAAATACTGAAGATTTCTGTCTTCTGGGTTGTTACGCTGTGTAGTCTGGTCGATGTTAACCAACGTTTCAGAGGTCATACTGCCTCCATCATCAGGGCGATGA